ATCCTTGGGTGAGGATTGAAAAAAAAAAAAAAAAATGGATTATTTTATTTGTATGTTTTTAATAAGTATAGTAATTTCATTAAATCGTATTTCAAATTTTACCAGGTGTTTTCAGGTCCTAAGTAAAAATGTTTGACAATAGTGATGTTTAAAGATCATCTTAAGCTTTACAGTCACCTTCCTTTCCCTCAGCTCTCGCAGCTGATAGTGAACGCGGGAGGAGTCGCGGCCGTGATTGACTGCATCGGGTCTTGCAAAGGAAACATACGGCTGCCTGGCATCATGATGCTTGGTTACGTGGCGGCTCATTCTGAGAACCTGGCGATGGCGGTGATCATTAGCAAGGTTTGTTCTTGCTTGGTTTTCTTCTAGTTATTGCAGTGAGATATTCTAAGACAGACCATAGTAATACTCTCCCACCGATTATAAAATGTAACTGACCAGAGAGAAAGAAACCGGGAGAATTATTCAGGGTTCATCAGTAAGTTTCCAAAAGCAGTGCTTGAAGTAAGGTTTACTTTTTGGCAGTTTAAAGTTTTATTCAGATTTTAATATCTACAAAATAGCAATACCTTGAGTATTAGTGTTACCTTTATTGACACATTCAGTGTATTTGTATCCTGAAGGATTGACTATATATTTACAAACATGTGCAGCATACTTTGACTAAAGACTGTTGTTATAAATTACATGCCCAGTGGTCATGCTCCCCTTATCTTCCATTTGGGCAGGAGATGACAATGGCTAGGACATCCCTTTTTATCCACTTTCCTTCAGCTTTCATGAACTAATTTCTCTTTTTAGATGTAGGCAATTCAGAGCACATATCAGATAGCGATGTTTTGTGTCTTTGCTCTACGAATTTGGCCTCATTTCAATTTACAAGTTGGTATTAACACACCATACAGTGTAGCCCTGGCACATAATAGGTGCCCAGAAATATTGATTAAATTAATAATTATTGATCTCCTGAGAAACGCTTCAGAGGCTGTGTGCTTACAGTGTCTCCAGCAACCCTCTAGGTTGCGGGTTTCTTATCAGCATAGAAAACCTACTGCTGTATGTTAAACAGAAGTGTGGATATTTTTTTTATCCCTTGCAAATCCTCAGAATAAAAGGGAGCCTCAGATCTTTATTTCCTACCTCTTCCTTGGTAAATTTTGCTTAACTCACTTTTTACCCTACGCTTTTCCTTTTGTTCTTCTATTACCAAAAACTATGATAGTGACTAGAACAGGAGTGCTGCTTTCTGAAGGGTCACTGTGGGATATCACTGGGATTTCGGATTCTTGGTTCTTTTGTGGATCGCAGAAAGCTTATATATAGGCAGAATGAGGAAAGCAGCAGCAATTGCTTTTGCTTCCTGATTTTCCTCCCCAAACTAACCAGGAGGCGCCCCCGCTCCTTTGGTCCAGGGTTGCTGCTGGCCTCTCCCACCTCGTTGTCTCTCAGTTAGTTGAAGATCTCAGTTGAGAGAAACCGCACAGCTATGTGTCGTTCTTTTTCCCACATAGGACTCTAAGGACTAATAGCAGGACTTCACATGTAAATAATACTTCATAATTTTCAAAGCACATTCATGCTTCTTATCTCGTTAGCCATCCATAACAACTGAGGCTGAGGTGGAGGAGGCTGACCTCTTTTCCTCCTGCTTCTTCAGTCTTGATATGTCCCAGAGCATGGGCTTTCTAGAAGGTTGCCTCATTCTGAAGACAGGTCTGACCTTTTGTATTGGCAGATAGGCATTTTTAGCTGGAAAAAGAGAAGCCAATGAAGAAATATGGCAGGTCTCTTGAGGAAATTGGTCTTAATAATCAAATTTAAAGGCACAGAGGGGAAAAGTGTACGTGATCATTTGGATTTTGCTATGGTAGCATGATGCTGTGACATTGACTTTAGTGGTACTAAATTTAAGGTGATAATTATTACCAGTATAGTCTCAAATTAGTTAGAAAGTTATTCCTATACAGAATCTGGAATTATAATTTGATTTGGCATTTTGAGTCTTCCTTAGATATAGAAACAGATGTATTTGAGGCCTTTTAGTTAATTCTGTTTTGATTATTTAGATAAAACTGAAGCCTGAAATGCAAAATGCAAGCACGCACTGTTTGTGTAACAAGAGTAATAATTTCTACTTTGACATTCAGTCATGTTAAAATGGGCAAAACTATCACTTAAAAGTTGACCAAGCCCTGGTTGAGCATCATCCCATACACCAAAAGGTCACCAGTCAATTCCCGGTCAGGGCACATGCCTGGGTTGAGGGCTTAATCCCCAGCACAGCATGCAGGAGGCAGCCAATCTATGATTCCTCTCTCACATGGAAGTTTCTCTCTCTCTCTCTCTCTCTCTCTCCCCTCTCTCTCTCTCTCTCTCTCTCTCTCTCTCTCTCTCTCTCTTTCCTCTCCCTTCCTCCCTCTCTAAAATAAATTAAAAAACATATTCAAAATAAAATAAAAGCTAACCAAATTTAATGGACATTTATTTACTAGTTCAGGAAAGGTCTTAGTAAACAGATTTAATCTAAAAGTTACTTAAGTAGAATTCTGGCTCATATTATTCATTGGATTTCAAATCTATAGTAGTTATTTTGTTGTCAGATCTATTATACTTAGTGAAAAGGCCATTTTAAAGGATTCTAAATTAAGTTTTTTAGCAAAGTAAAATAAAAGATTTTAAAATCTAAGCATTCAAATTTGTCACAGTGGAATCTGGCTTTGCCTATACACTAATCTGTGGCATCTATTGTTTGGTTAAATACCTCTGTATTTGGTGAGTAAATGCTAGCAGAGATAGTTTAGTTGGATTGGAACAGATAATTAAGGTAAATTTGTTCTAGTCATTTTATTGACTTGAAAAATGACAGCCCCTGTGCTGTGCTTGTTTATTGAACCATCTAGGAAAAAAGGATCAAGGCCAAATGATTTCTTCTAATGTTTGAGAGACACGGGAGACTATTTAATCCTGCTCTGGTTTCATAACACTTGCTCTGTTGATCAACGCTGCAGGGTGTGCCCCAGTTGTCAGTCTGCTTGTCAGAAGAACCAGAGGATCACATTAAGGCTGCCACTGCCTGGGCCTTGGCACAGATCGGGAGACACACTCCGGAGCATGCACGGGCCGTCGCAGTCACAAACATTCTGCCCGTGCTGCTTTCTTTGTACATGTCGGCAGAAAGCTCTGAGGATCTTCAAGTAAAAGCAAGTGCTTAATTCTTACTGTTTCGTGAAGATTTGTTAGATTTTTGACTCAATATGTAATTTAAAATATCTTAATTTTCATTATGGACAATATTGCTTTTGTGAGTCAAGCAGAAGAACTGAGGAGAGTCTTCTTTGAAAATGGGTTATCCTTGTCTCTAAACATCAGTGATATGTTTTAAAGAAAGATCTCTGCAGGTGCAAAGTTGTGAATGTCAAATTGTGGCCTTCTACATTCCTCTTGCTTTTTTCTTATAGACTAGGCATTGAAGAATAATAGAATCTTGGAGTTAGAATTGGCTGCAGAGTATCTTACATTAAAAGTTGAGTCAAGCCAGCTGGTCTGGCTCAATGATTGAGGGTCGATCTATGAACCAGGAGGTCATGGTTTGATTTCCGTCAGGGCACATGCCCCAGTTGCAGCTCAATCCCCAGTAGGGGGCGTGCAGGAGGCAGCTGAGCAATGATTCTCTCATCATTAATGTTTCTCTTTCCCTTTCCCTTCCTCTCTGAAATCAATATAAAAATATCAATATAAATCAATATAAAAATATATATTATTTTAAAATTTGATTCCAAAAGAATTTAAGGTGCTTTCAAATGTAAATGTAACTGGGCAAGGGGTGTTCCTGAAGCCATGATCCACTTCTCCTAACTCCAAGTCTGCCTGTTTTTTTAAATTATATGTCTTAAATTTGTTCCTTAAAAGAAAAATGTTCACAGTATTCACTAAATTAAACATTTTAAAATATATATTTTAAAAAATCAAGCTTTCTGAAAAAATATTACTAGCTACTAAAATGATTCACAAAACATGACTATAAAGTAGGTTGGGTTGTTTAATAGTTATAGAATTTCAAAGAAAGAAAATACTACCTCATTTGGAAAAAGTTATTTTTTGAAAACAACTTTTAGAATTGAGCTGGATTTAAAGAAGTGCACAGAAAAGACAATAATTCAAAGTAAAATTAAGAAGTGTTAAATTATATTTAATTTTTAATTAAAATAACAAATTAACAAATAGTGGACAAAAGTAGGCTTACAATTATAATACAAATAAATATAGTAATTAATTAATAATACAAGAATAAACTTTCACATATTCACAACTGTAAATCTACTTTTGCCCACCCCGTATTCTTTATATACTACCAAGTTTATATAACTTGGCTTTAAATAAATGATAATGATACTATGATGTATAAATATTACTGGAGTAAAATATAATTTTTATTGTGTTTTATTTTAACAAAGGTGGCTTTAGTAAAATATTTAGGTTTAATACTAATAGAAGTTAAGGGTCCTCCTGCCTACATTTGATACAATATTTACTTTCAGAAAATACACTAGGTATTAAATTAAATTCTATCAATCATTGTACTATTAGCAATCTTCCAAGGCTTTAAGTCAAGCATGTCACACTCAAAGGCTAACATGGGCAAAATAAACAAGGTTTAAGTTAAGTGGGCCGAAAAAAAAAAAGCTTCAATTTTCATAGACACGTAGGTTTATTTCGATAGAGACATGCTGAATACAAAGGGCTAAATGAGTAATCATTAACATAAAATAATATTTTATGAACATTTTAATAAAAATTAATATTTTTTCTTGAACATTGACTTACCAGACTCTGAATAACTGGACAAATTAATAAGTAATGCAAATAAACCTATTTTTCTTGTTCTCTGAAAGTGAAATATTTCCTGTTGCACACACCAAACAAGTCAGTCCAAGACTAATGACGTGGCAATCGGCTGCTAAAATATTCTGGCGCCTGCACATAAGGTGCGTAAGGGAGATGAATGCAACACAATTATAGTAATCAGTCATTAGTGAACATTGTAGTTCGTTATTAATAATTATGTATAACAGGATACTGTAAAAATTAAGTTATGAAAAATTTATTAAAACATTTCCTACATACTGTTATATTGGCAGGGCTGCAAAAATATTCGTTGTGGGTCACATGCGGCCTGCGGGCTGCGAGTTTGACATGCTTGTTTTAGTCCATCCAAATATCTTAATGTAGATCAGCGGGTTCTCAACCTGTGGGTCGAGACCCCTTTGGGGGGTTGAACGACCCTTTCACAGGGGTCGCCTAAGACCATCGGAAAACACATATATAATTACATATTGTTTTTGTGATTAATCACTATGCTTTAATTATGTTCAATTTGTAACAGTGAAAATACATCCTGCATATCAGATATTTACATTATGATTCATAACAGTAGCAAAATTACAGTTATGAAGTAGCAACGAAAATAATTTTATGGTTGGGGGTCACCACAACATGAGGAACTGTATTAAAGGGTCGCGGCATTAGGAAGATTGAGAACCACTGATGTAGAGACTTGATCATCCTTTTTTTTTTTCTTCCCCAAGGTCTCTTGGATTCTATAAGTTGTTGGGTGAGAGATCAAGTCTGTTTGACTTGACATTATTTCAGTAGGGAAAAGGCAACCAAGAGCTTCAGAAACTGTCTAATGGTATTTCTCATTCGTTACTCTGTGGCAGCTTTCAAATTATATAAGGCCATGTTTAAGTTTATTTTGTCCCAAAGGCATGTCAACTTCTGTAAGCATTCTCTAATTGGTTCTGATCCAAGAGAACCAATGAGCAACCCCTTGGAATCTCTTGCATATTTTCACATAGCCTTACTATCTGCCTGTACATGTTATTTCAAATACCTGATTAAAAGCTGAAAAAAATACATCTTTTTAATAAGTTTACCCATATATATTTTTTAAATATTCAGGCAATTGCATTTTCATTTGTTTTGATTTAGAGGCATCCTATTGAAATGTTAGTTTTGGCATTTGAATAAGTTAATTCTATCACCTTAGTTATAAAACTATTTCTAATTTAATTATTTGATTTATGTTCTTATCATGATGGTTCTTCCCTTTAATTTTTAGCTTTACTGACATATAATTCATATACATATAGTTTACCCACTGAAAGTGTACAATTCATTGGCTTTTAGTATATTCACAGAATTGTGCAACCACACCTCAGTCTAATTTTAGGACATTTTTATTCTGCCATTAGCCATCATTCCATATCTTCCCTACCTAGTCTCAGGCAACCATGAATTTACTTTCTGTCTTTGTGTATTTGTCTCTTCTGGACATTTAATTTAAATTGAATCATACAATATATGTGGCCTTTTGTGCCTGGCTTCTTTAACTTAGCATAAGTTTCAAGGCTCATTCCTGGATAGCATATATCGATATTTGTTCCTTTTTATTGCAAAATAATATTCTATTGTATAGATATACCACATTTTGTCCAATAAAGCTGTTAAAAATCTTAAATCCAGAAATTGACAAGTAAACAAAATCTTAATTAATATACCGATATTCCTTTCATGCTGGACAATGCAGCTGATTATTAATCATGACATACATTCCTATCTAGAAGTATGTATAAACATAAATCTGGTATATTTCTTGACGAAGGATAGTAAAGCTCGGTGAATTTCTAGTGTCATTAGAAGTTCTAATCCTCCAGGGTTCTTGATTAATAACTTGACAGTGTATCACCAATTTGGTACTGTTAGAATTAGAATAAGGCTGTCTGCATGGTGTGGTGAATATGATCTCTACTATACTGTTAGTACCCTTTGTCACCAGTTAAGGTAAATATACTGACCTGCTAAAGTCACCATGATCCTAAGATGGTTCTTCACAAAGGTAACGAGGTATGTTAAGAATTGAGAGTTTAATTCCAATTTGTTATACTACTTGTGGGAAAAAATTGTGCTGCATTACTTAATATTGAGAGTTTAATTCCAATTTGTTATACTACTTGTGGAAAAAAAATTGTGCTGCATTACTTAATTTGTTGTTGTTGTTTTTAAATCTAGCTTATAAAACAATATTTGAGAACAAATATCAAGAGATAAGAGATTACAAGACTGCTTAGCCTGGGTCTGTGGGAAACCATAAATTCAAGAGTTTCTTTATTTGAGAGCACAAATGTGATTAAAGTTTTTGTAGACTACATTTATCAACTATAAAATTCATGATGTGAACATCATAATGCTCTTTGACATTCAAGAGCATTGCTAACTGTTGAATAACAAGATTCCAGAAGACCAAGTCAGCTAAGGTCTCAGAGAGAGAACAGGTGATTGGTTGATCAGAGGAAGGAGGAACTGAAGCACAAACCACCAACATACAAGCAGATGTGGATTTCCAGTGGAAAACATCTGTAGATAAACCCAATTGTGGAGCCTTCCAAAGTGAAGGGGGCAGGCTTTCATACAAGGCAACAGAATCACAACCAGCCATGGCCTTAGAGCTGGCTGCAGGGATGTGCTACAGTCCATCAGAGCTCTTCTTCAGCTATGCTTTTGGCAGGGGGGCAGCACCACATGGTGTCACCATGAAATACAGATGCTGGGGAGGGTGGGAGAGGTACCTGCAGGCACCTATTCTTTCACTGTGGGTGAGACACTCCCTAGTGTCGAGTGTTCCTCTACAGTGGAGTAGATGCTGTTGTGTCCCTGTGAGTGGGGCAATTTCTACCCGTGACCTATAGCAGCATATCTGCAAGTGCTCACTGAATATTGCACACAGTCGAATATTTCTGACTCCACATCTATAAGCCATGAAGCCGTTTGGTGAACACAGAATGCCTGATGATGGCAGTCTACAGTAAACTAAGTATTTTCTCATATTTGTTGATTGGAAGGAATAGGACATTAGTTATCTCACAGTTTCACATATACAAATTTTTATACTTAATAAAATATAATACTTATTTTTAGTCCTTAGCTTTATGATTTCTAATTCAGTTTCATCATAGGTATTTTAAGAGCTCAATAACACACTATACATTTTAAAATTTGGCACAAAGACAACTGGCAGGGTATCTATCTATCTATATATATAAAAGCCTAAGCAACCCTTACAACTTGTCGACCGAATGACCAGTCAACCGGTCACTATGATGCGCACTGACCACCAGGGGGCAGACGCTCAATGCAGGAGCTGCCCCCTGGTGGTCATTGTGCT